TGAAAATTGTACACATCACGGTTTGTTTCACTTATTTTGGCTGATAAGACATGTCCTCAAGTGATTGTGTGGGCAAGTAGATATTATTTTTTTGACAGCTTCCCATCTCTGCTAGGGCATCCCACTTTACACGGTGATGCTAAGGGAATGCACTTCTTCACACAGAAGTCACCATTCTCACATAAGTGGCAAATAGAAAACATAAAAAGGGCTTGTTTAGGTCGCTTGTTGGTAATCACATTACAGGAAAAGATGACTTTTTGACCACTGTGGCCACGAAGCATGAAAATACGAGCACTCAAACGTGTTAGCGACACATAACAAAATCATGGCAGGTCCATTCCCTTGATCGGCAAGTGGAGTGAACTGGTGAGAAAAGGCAGCTTTGCACTGGCAACAAGGGGAAACGAATGAAGACAAATTAAAGCTTGGATGCCAGCAATGCACAAATATAAAACTGAAGTGAAATGAGGACTGAGACTAGTGCCGACTAGTAAAATCATTGCATGCCACGCTAAGTATGGCAGTTTCATGTAGCCCCCAGCATAGTTCCACCCACCTTCAGGCTAAGCCGAGGTCGAATCAACTACTAAAAACAAACTTTCTTTTATAAATGCAAAAACAAAAAGCCTCTGTACTGACCTATTACAGTACAACCAAATATTAAGCAGATATTAAATTTCACCATCAGTTCCTACTTTATTCATTTCCATAATTTCTGATGTCATACTCACAATCAGAGATAAACTTGGCTGCATCTGTTTCACGGTCTTCTTCTGTGCCAAAGGCATTACATAAATTCAGGACACGTAGTTTGAATGGCTGTGTAATCAAGCTACTGTTCCCAAAATAAACATTAGTTTGTAGGTTATATGCCAATTATAAGTCATAATAACATCATTGCTTAGTAACATATTAGGTGTTATAAGGTCGTTAAGGTATTAAAATAGCATCATATAAGCTGAAAGCTCAGGTTTCAGGCTGCTCTAAACACTGGTTTTTTTCTACTCCTAGAACTTCGTGATGTCACAGAAAGATACCCCGCCCACCTGCTATTCACACTAAAATATTTTGTTTCATGCGCAGGTGATCTGAAGGGCTTGATACTACCCACTACTCAATGCTTTTTATTCCACTTGACATGCTTTACTGCTAATATAGAGTATCTGATAAGTTTTCAAAGTAAAAGACTGAGTCACTGCAGATTAGGTCCTGAAACTTAACATCCTGAAATTCAAACTTCTCTAGTAGAGTCCAAGAATAGAAAATGGAGATGGAAAAGATAAATCCCATTTAAGGTCAATAAATATTTTTTAAACGTTTTGCCTATTTATTATACGATTAAAAGAGGAACAATTAAATATATTTAAATAAATAAACATAATTTAAATATAAATATATGTAATATTTGCTTTGTCACTGAACATAGTTTGGTCTTCATTGTAAGTAGACTGTCAAGCGCGCAGTCTGAATATGTTTTATCGGTCTGTCATTGACTATCTTTGATATGTTCCCTGCCTCTTGCCCACTGTATTCTGGGATAGACTCCAGCCCTCTGTGACCCTGAGTGGGTATAAGCTGATGTAGAAGATGGATGGATGTCTTGGCTGCAGGTAGAAGTCATTTTCCAAACAGCTAAATGAGCCATTTGTCACAGGGGTCAGCCGTGACTTTGACCTATGGTTGTCAGCACAATTTGGCTTCTGTTATGCAGAGCAGGTTGTTTCAGCACAGAGGAGTCAACTCTCACATAAAATGTAGACAATGGACTCAAAGGTGTGAGCAGATAAAATCAACAGATCATTTAAAACAGAAACCCGTGTGACAGCTATTCCAAAAAAAACCAAAAGACTGAGTACCAATCGATTATTCTTAACCATGGGCTGGATGACTGAAAACCTACACAGACATCATGGACGAGCTAACCACTGGGTTAGATTTCCCACAGAAGAAAGGCCACACACCATACCTAAATGCATTTGCAATGTTTTCATTGTTTCTGAAAACTATTGGGTGCAAACATTTGTGGATGGAGAGGAGGGGCAGTAGACAAGGAAGAGCGGAGAAAGCAGGGGCAATGACATGCAGGAAACGATCGGAGAAGACTCGAACCCCGGCCCCTGCAGCTCATTTGGTACATGGGTTGCTAGCTTAACCACGTCAGCTCTAGCAGCACCAAAAAAACAATAATTTTCTAACGCATAAAACATATAAGAGAATTCCATCTTAAAAACCAGACTATTTCTAAATAGGAACATAGCCCTCGCTCAGTTCTCCTGTATGTGTGAGCAGAAAGGTTTAAGAAGCACACTGGACAGGTCACCATACTATCACAGAGAGACAGACAACCACTAATGCTCACGAGATGGCGTAATGACCGTGAAAGCCATAGACAGAACTTTGACATGAATTGAGCTGCGGTTTGGCAGCCTGGCAGATCCTCATGTACTAAATAGGAGTGAAGAAGTTGAAGAATGGAGAAGAAGGAGGGAGGGAGGGTGGGGCACGTACACGAGAATGAACAGATTGCAGAACTAGGGGAACCCATATAGATGGCAGGCGGAAGGAGCGTGATTGGAGGCGTGGTCCTGCTCCTGAAATTCAGATACATAATCTCCAATAAAGTAATAGTTTGAGTCCAAACTATTACATTAGGTTATGCAACATTAAGGTTGCATAAACCACCTCATCCTTTGTGTTTTAGAGCTGCACATCAACAAGCGCATTTGTAATGAACTTCAAAAAGTGAGCAAGATTCAGAGATCCTACTTGGCAGCCATGTGCGTTTGCCCAGCTTTGGCTCTGTATAGCAAAAATGTGACCACTAGACTGAAACGCTGCGGTTCACTGTTGTTTGTACAGTGTAGTACACAGGAGCAATGTAGACAACATTTATCAACAAGCACTCCATCGGCAGTGGTATAGTAGTATGGCTGTATTAGCACCTCTTACACGTGTTGGGCTATTATTAGTTCTATCATCAGTAAAGCTGTTGGATGCAGTCAAATAATTAACTTTAAAATCCATCTATTCATGTAATAGATAAGAAAAGCAAAACGCACCCCTTTATAACAGAAGCAATGACACTGGAAAAATCTGATGCAGATGAGATTACTCAAACTATTCTCTGATTGCCAAAAATGGAAAACTTTGAGATGATAACCTCACCTCATCTGTACTTCCTGTTCTTACATAACCAAATCTGACATTATGTGCTCCTCCCTTTTATGTTCTTTGGTACAATAAAAAGTGGTACATAAAGCAATACCTTTTGAAAAACAACCATAAATAACTCTCACTTGGTCACATGGCCCAGCCATATGGTTTAAATCTGCACTACAAAGACTCCCCCAGTACGTGGCAAAAGCACTCTATGAACAGTACGAGTCGCTGAGCTTCCATGGCTCAGGATGACACACGCCGTTGCAGTCAACTCAGCAGCTACAAGCCTTAAAATATGCCTGACCCACACACTTTGCATAAAAAATGTTTTGGATTTTGCCTCTTGCCATAAGCCACATTATGTAAGTGCAAAGTGTGAGGTATCAAGAGGAGATGGCCCTGTGCCAAGAGTGTGCTGTGATGCTGTGGGTGCAGGTGTTGAGAATATCTCGCGTGAAGAGTTCCTCTGAGGATAGAAAGCGCTCCGTGAGATAAATTATCACATGCTGATGCAGTGTTAGCATGCAGAGAAACGCTGAGAAGCAATGACAGTGAGTGGCGAGGTGTCCGGTTCGATTTTATGAATACAGACGCATTTAGATTTGACTTAAGATGGGAACTGAGCGTTGATGTCATAGCACCTTTTGATGCATTCTGTAAGTATTCAGAAGACTGAAAAGTCTTGAGACAATCAACTTTTGTTTTCTTGACTTTTCCCAGCATGCAACACAGTTTTTAGAGTTTAAACAGCTTTTTGTTTGTTGTTCTTACTGCACTACTTCTCTATTGGAAATAAAGGCCTAATGTGCCTAATGTATACATATGCGGTAAATCACTTCAAATTTTAAACACAAAGATGTGCTTTAAAACTTGTAGTACTCTGCTTTGATTGCTTATTTGAAAAGTTCAACTGCTTGGCACAGGATGCCTCTTACTTCTCTAAGTTTGACTTATTTCTTGTGCATTGGAAGCTTTTAGTTTCCACATCCCACTTGTGTAAATGGCATATTTAACTTTGACTGGCTCTCAGACTATTTGATGTCACACAGTCCTGCTTGTGCATCCATGTCCTAAACTAAGATTTAGTGTAAGCACTCAGAGAAACTTTCCTCCTTCAGCAGATGGTTGTAAAAACATCCGTCTAGTGCCAGACACACACACACACACACAAGCACGCACACACACAAGCACCCGCACATTCAAGTGAGGAACTTATTTCTTGTTTTTTTCCTCATCTGAAAAGCGAAAACTGCGATTTAAAAATCTTTAACTAAAGCATTTGGAATTATAAAAGCAGCAGTTCAGTATATAACAAAACAGAACAAGTAAACAAGTAAAATGATCTTTTCATGTGCAGCAAAGCAGGGAGTAAATTCTGCAGCACTTTGCCATCATACTTAGAATTTAGTTTTGCAGAAACACAGTTCCTGGTGTTAGATCTTTCCAAATATCTGGCACAAAATCACAGCAATCTGACTTATGTCATCTTATTAGTTTTGCAGTTTGGTTTTGCATATGACACTTGAACACAGCTTAAATGTTGTACAGCAGAAACATCAACTGGCCACATGAAGACTGGAAAAATGTGCGCCACATTCCTCCAGCGTCTACAGGGCTTTACGCACGCGCATTCACGCGTGGTTCTGTTGTCAAAGTAACACGGGAGTGTTTGAAAATAAAAGTGAGGGTGTCGTGCTCGGAATGAAAGTGTTTTTCTCGAGATGGGACCTTATTTAGTGGCATATATTTTCCATTAAAAACATGTGACTGGCGCTGTTTTGATCATTACAAGGTTGTTTTAAAAAAAAAATTTCACACACAAGCTGTGGGCCACATACCTTGGAAGACATCCACATCATGACGATCCTCCGAGCTCGCAGATAATCGCAGTCCTCTTGGGGGGTGAGGCGGGGTGGGTGGGGGGGGGAGGAATTGTGCACGAAGTCCAGCAGACAGGAGAGAAAATTGCTCGCAAGCTCCCTTCCAATGACTTTCCACGATGAGTCATTTTTGCTTTAACTTTCCATCTGCCTCCTTGTAAAGGGATATTGTCATTTTGAGGTGGTTTAAATGAAACTGGGGAAAACTGCTGTCGCCGAGTTTCCAACAAGCATGTCCATACAAAACCTGGGGCGAGTCATTTCTCCAGCCATTTTATAAACTGATGATTCCTGTGCTTAGCTCTCGCAGTGGGTCAGCAATAGAAGGCTTTTTTTTTCTTTTGGCCTGTTGTGGAAAAACATAGTTGTGTAGGTGTCATAGAAATAACTGTAGCCCTGGTTTACTAAATGCTGTCTTATCAGTTAGCTTTTCTTTAATGTTAAATACTGGAACAGTTACAAAAGACTTATCCGTATTTTCGTTTCCAATTTTTTCTTTTTTCTTTAGTTTTACTGGCAGCATATAAAGGGGATTATTAATATCCTTAGTCTGCTCTCTGTGAGGAAGTTGTTCAAACATTCTTTAGCGAAGTGGTCAGAGGATTACTAAATACGCGCCACTTTCATGGCCTACAGCTTCTGTCTCTGAATACAAATCTGTCAAAACCCAGCGCAAAAAAAAATCTACATTAGTGCAAACAGATTTTGAACTTTATTGCATAACAGCAAAAACGATCATCCCTATATCTGTTATTGACAGATGAAACTCATAAAGTGCGAATGCATAGCCTGTCTTTACTAGAATTTCAATTTGATGTCAGATTTGGAAGCCCGCACAGCTTAGATGAACAAATAGACTGGTGTGTGGTGAAGATGGTTTGGGGGAAAGGCTGCTGTTAGAGAAGTGCGCGATGGTTAAAAACAGGAGAAAGAGAGAGAAGCATCACAACCTGCCAATCAGTGGCATGAATGTGCGTGTGTGTGTGTGTCTGTGTCTGAGGCGTGTTTCAAACTTGTGTTGGGGATGTGAGGGCGGGAGGGGGTCACCTGCTGTTGGGCAGAAATGATGTTCAAAATTATCTTTATAGGGCGTGTTCTTCTTCTTCAGGAAAAATAATTAATAATAATAAACTCTAATTGTAATCACACGTCAGTCTGAATGGATTTTGAGTTAGTACTGTTTTTTCTGCTTATGTCTGTGCCGTTTCCTTTACTGGGGCTCTTGTCCAGCCCGCAAAGCGACTCCGTCACCCCCTCCTCCATTTCCATATACTCCGCTTTGTCACCGAGCGAGGAGCCAGAGGGCGAGCCTTTGAATTTTCTTAGAAAGTCAGGGAAGTACGGGCAGCCCGGGGGCATGCTCTCCACCACCGGCGACTGGTCCTCGTTATCGGTCTCCCTGTGATAAAAGTAGTTGAAGTTGGACACTATGACCGGGACCGGGAGCGCAATGGTTAACACGCCCGCGATCGCGCAGAGGGAGCCCACTATCTTCCCACCCACAGTGATGGGCTTCATGTCTCCGTAACCCACTGTGGTCATGGTCACTACAGCCCACCAAAACGCGTCCGGGATGCTCGTAAACTGCGAGGTGGGTTCGTCCGCCTCGGCGAAGTACACCGCGCTGGAGAACAGGATGACACCTATGACCAGGAAGAAAATGAGGAGGGCCAGCTCCCTCATGCTGGCGCGCAGGGTGTGACCCAGGATCTGCAGCCCCTTAGAGTGCCTGGACAGCTTGAAGATGCGAAACACCCTGACAAGGCGGATTATTCTCAGGATGGCGAAACTCATCGCGTGCTGTCCGTTGCCCTGATGCTGCGCCAGGTCCGTGCCGAGAGTAATGAAATAAGGCAAAATGGAAACAATGTCTATGGAGTTCATAATGTTTTTAAAGAAGAGAGTTTTGCTCGGACTGGCAAAGAAGCGAACTATAATCTCAAACGAGAACCAGATGATGCAGACCGTTTCCACGACGAAAAAAGGGTCGTTAAAAGGAGTAAATCCGTGATCGGCTTGAGAGGAGTTGTTTCGTGGCTGTAGATACTCTTTGTCATCCCTGAACTCCGGCAGCGTCTCCAGGCAGAAAATCACAATAGAAATGACAATAACAAGGACGGACACGACCGCGATCCCCCTGGCAGGGCTCGAGCTCTCCGGATACTCAAAGAGCAGCCAAATCTGGCGCTTGAACTCATCCTCCGGCAGAGGTTTCTCCTCCTCTTTGACGAAGCCCTCATCCTCCCGAAACTTTAGTATCGCCTCCTCCCCGAGTTCATAAAACTTGACCTCCTCGGAAAATATGTCAAATGGGACGTTGACTGGTCTTTTTAAGCGCCCGCCTGACTGGTAGTAGTAAAGAATGGCGTCAAAACTCGGTCGGTTCCGGTCGAAGAAGTATTCGTTCCTCAGCGGGTCGAAGTACCTGATCCTCTTGTCCGGATCTCCCAGGAGCGTGTCCGGGAACTGAGTGAGCGTCTTGAGCTGAGTTTCAAACTTCAGACCCGACACGTTGATGACAACTCTCTCGCAGCAGCCGCACTCGCTGTAAACGTTTTCGTATCCGGACTGGGGCCGCCTGTCGGTGATCGACACGGTCTCCTCCTCATCATCCATGTTGCACAAAAAACTCGACCTTTTGCTCCCCCGGTCGCCCCCGCCCCCCTCCCCCTCCTCCTCCTCCTCTTCCTCGGCTCCCTCGGCCTCTTCCTCCTCTATCATGATGTCCTCCTCGGATCCGAGCAGAGCCAGCTCGGAGTGGCGCAGGTCCCCACCGAGAGTACCCCGGTTCCGTCTCCAGCGTCCGACGCCGCGCTGCTTTTTCCGCTCTCGGACAAATCTCTGCTGCTGCTCGGGCTCCTGCTGGTTCTGCTGCGAGGAGGAGGTGGAGGTGGTGGTGGTGGAGGTGAAGGAGGAGGGGGAGGGGCGCGAGGCGGTACCGCCGCTGCTGATGTTGGCGTTCGCGGAGGAGGCGGCGCGAGACTGATGCTGGCGGTTGTTAAGGAGATGAGCGCTCGAGGAGGTGTTGGAGGTGGACCCTCCGACGCCACCGCAGCTACCTCCTCCACCTCCCTCCGTGCACGTTCCACCTTCGGCAGCAGCCGCTGCGGCCGCCGCTCTGGTGTGGGCAGCCTGGCGCTCCCTCTCGCGCTCCCTCTCCCGCGCGCGAGCCTGGGCATATCCGTAAGGCAGGTGGCTGTTGCACCCACCGTCCGCGCCCACCATGGCAAACTCCATTTTAAGTCAGTGAGCGCTTCGGTCCGCGGACGCTTACAGTAAGCGCTCGCGCGCTGTGATGTGGACGCAGACCAGAGGACAAAAGTTGCAGCTCAGCGCGCGCAGGGAGACAAAATGAGGCATGAAGCCTCTCGACCAATCAGTCGTGAATGCGAGAAAGTCAGAATAGCAAACACACCTCAAATGGGTCCATGCTGAGCGAATCCCATGTATCCTACTTACATGATACTGATTGCCATCTCTTCCAGTTTAGGTACAGCCCCCCCTCCTCCGGTATTTCATGACATCATTACCATATCCAAAAAAAAGAAGAAGAAAGAAAGAAGGAAAAAGATCAGATGTAAAGGCCGGTGGCATAGCCTGTTACGCAGACGCTCGGTCAAACTTGCAGCGCCCCTTATTTGCTCAGCATTGTAAATCACCAAGTCAACAAGCGACACCTAAACAGTCTCTCCTCGGTTCCTCCGGTGCCCATCAGGTGGTTAATTTCTCCGCGAGGCGGGCTTGCGCCCGAATGCGTCTTTTGATCCTCCCTGGTCACTCATGGTTGCCATTTTAGGACGAGTTTAAAAGAGAGAGAGAGGAAGAGAGATCTCCGTTATTTTATACAGCTCCGGTGAATTTGAATGACTTTATTCATCTGACGCTCTCAGGAGCTGCGAGAACAAGAAGAGAGGAGGAAACAGCAGTTGGTTTAGGCAAATAAAACCAAAACCTTCATATCGATGTGTGTTGTTTTATCGAATACACAATCAAAATACATAATTGTTATTATCATCACCATCATTATTACTATGGAGTGAACACAAAGGAATATGGAAGACATTTATGGTTACAATACAATTTACGCATTAAAGTATCCTCCCTTTATTCTAACATCCATACTTACATCTGAAAGGGGGCCAAAACGACATCGCCTCAGTCCCCCCCCTCCCCCGCCCCCCCTCTTCACAAACCAATCTGATGGAGGAAGCAGGGGAAGGAGGCTAGGTGAGGATGCAGTTGTTCACTCTCGCTCAAATCCCCGTTATGATTTTGGAGGGTAACGCCGCAAAATCCCTCGCTGTATCCACGCAGCGACCATATCCACATCCAGTACACACATCCGTGCTCTGACGCACTCTGGAGAGGACACTTTTTTTGGCTGCGTCTCGACGTCTTGTCTCAATTCAACAGGATCTATCGCCACTTCAGCCTCCGTTTCTGCTGCATCGCTTCTGGTATGCCGAGAGCAATAATGTTACCCCCTCCAGAGGAGAAAAAAAGAATGAGAAGAAGAGGAGGAAGTAGCAGGTGTGCGCGTAGCGAGTTGGCATCAATGACAGCTCCACACGAAGACAAGATACGAGGGTGGGTAAAAGTTTACCTTCGCACGGGCGAGGGGGAATGGCTTCATGGTTTAAGTCTGAGCATCGCACATCTGTCTGTCTGCCGCCGTATCCCTACCTATACTCCTGGATCCCTCCCATTGTGTGTGTGTGTGTGTGTGTGTGTGTGTGTGTGTGTGTGTGTGTGTGTGTGTGTGTGTGTCTCTGTGTGATGATGGAGAGTCTCAGTGAGAAAGTCGCTCGTGTACCGCAGCTCGTGCAGGCGGTGCTCGGTCCTCCCCCAGTGGCTGCAGCCGGTCACTGCGCACCGTGCTGCAGTCTCTCACCCGAGCTTCATCTGCCCTTCATTGTCACTGCTGGGTAGCAACCGGTGTGTTTGTGTCTCCCCACCATTAAAAAAAGTAATGCATTAACATAATATTTTAACTATGCATTTTGCAGTCACCAACCACTTTCCTAAAAAAATTAATCGGTGTTTTTGCTGTTGTTGTTGTTTATTTTCTCATATTAAATCAGAAAATGCATACATCACTTATTTACATACGTCCATATATTGTAAATTTAAAAAGTGTGAATTTAAAGCACTGGAAATACTTTTCATACAATTTCACTTCACCTAACAATCGTTTAACATTGTTTTTGTTAATATTATCACAGGAAAAAAGGTTAGCTCATGCAACAACAACAAAAATGTTCACAGAGGCCACAAAAACCAAAAATTCATGTTCGCTGTGCCTGCCCTCCCTCTGATATTTGATTAGGAGAGCACTCGAAACAGAATGCAAAGTGTTCATTAACCTCCTATGACCCAGCGATTCATTCTTGTCCTCTGTTGGGGGGACACGAGTCTGAGACCTCCACGAGCACAATTCGTGCAATCTATTTGAGTCTTACTGTACTGTCAAGGAGACATCTCAGGGTTTCAAGTTTCCACATGGGCTTTCTTTTCAAAATGATGGCCATTGCTCATATAATTATTTTACTAAATTTGCAAGAATTTCAAGCAAACTTTTTTTCATTTGGTCATTATGGGGTATCGCATGTAGAGTTTTGAGGTGAGAAATGAATTTGGGAATAAGGCTGTAACATGACAAACTGTGGAAAATGCAAAGAACTGTGAATACTGTCCATTACACAGACAGTGTTCTGTGTAGTGGACAGGAGGACTTACTCATTCCTGTTTTCAACCTATATCCACACTTCAAGAAGTAAAGGAAAGATTGAGGCAGAAAGGACTTTACTGAGAATTGTAGAAGGGGAGTCAGACTTTGTGCTGTCCGGTGATGAGGTGGAGGAGGACCAGACAGAGCAGGAAGGTGAACGCTCAGTGGAGGACATGCCATTGAGAATCCAGTTTGAACCCTACTTTGAACAGTAAATAGGTGTTCATTCATGGCATGATACCTTCAGGACTCAGATATACTGGGTCCCATTTATAGCCAGTTAAATAAGTCAAGACAGATTCTTTAACCTCCTAGGACCTGGCGTCCACATATGTGGACATCACATTTTGGGTGATTTAGACCAAAACACTAAATTTTGCTTTTCAACGGCCTGATATCCACTTACGAGGACATTATACTGCTACTGTTCTATAAAAATTTAAACGAATATCCTCATATGTGGCTCTGATTTTTCATTAAAACAAAAATAAGGTAAAAAAAAAAATCATTTTTTTCTTTGTTTATACATTTATCGGGCCCCAATATGCCCAAATATCTAAGAGAAGTTAAAAATGCATGCAGTGGAAGAGTTTGGGTCTTAGGAGGCTAAGATTAGGCAGTCGTTCAAAGTAAGAAATGATCTTGATGTTTTTCTTCCTCCTGAGGCCCAAACAAGAAATTGTTTTGATACTGAGATTTTTAACCACTGTGGTTGAAAGAAACACATTACAACAAATTGTTGTTTTCAAAATAATTTATTTATTAATATATCATTTGTCGCTTTGATGGACTGCCTACTTTTGATGAATCTGTCTCGACTTATTGAATTCACTATAACTAGGGAAGTACATTTGCATCCTATGTTATCTGAGTCATGCCATCAACATGGATATGCAGAAGAATGTTTTTGATGTTAATGCTCCACCTTTCTCTGGCTTGCGTGGCTCTGATGTTTTGGTAGTGCCTATTTTCTGTTTGATGTAAACAGGGAACCACCTGTCTTGGTGTTTATGGCCACATTGACCTGTTTCATATTCCATGCTAAAAAAAAAAAAAAAAGCCAATTTCAACCCAGTTAACACTCTCAAATTTAGAAAACAATTTGATTTTTAGCAACAGAAACATAATATCTGCCAAAAAAAACCCCAAAACCTTTCAGTCAACCTTCCTATGTGGCCATAAAGATGTCATTAAAAAAAAAAAAAAACATGTGCTCTGTTGGCCTCATTCTGCCGAGATCGTGGAAGGCCTGTGTAGATGAGTAGATAATTCACATGTAACTCTAGAGTACCAGATGATCCGTTACTGCAGTTTGTTGTAGGGAACTCAAGTCCTGCAACTTAAAAACCATAATGTCTGTCCCTCCTCTACCTCATCTCCTGATAGCACCGAGCATGACTTCCCTTCACCTTCGAACAGATGCATCAGAGAGCAACTTGGGGTCAACTTTTTGGTCTCAATAAGTTATTTTGTTACTGAGCTTCAACAGCGTGACATAATCCAATGTTCTTGTCTGCCATAGTTGTAATTAATCCTGGGCAGTATAAAACACTGCAGTGTACAGAAACATCAAGTAAGACATGAATCAAATCTACATGTGCAGCCAAACAAGTGCTAACTTCTAAACTAAAAGAAAGAAAATTTCAAACACGCTCACTCTTAAATTGATTTATAGAGCTGGAGTCTTTGAAGTTTACGCAGAAAACACTTTCTTATTGCTTTTTCAAAGTTTGTTTACATCAGTAAGGCTTGTCATAAGTGATAAAAAAGAGATTTAAAACATGGTTCAAGGGATAAAATTGTTTGCATGTAACTGGGATGTATCTCATTAATCACCAGAGTCTGGTCAATATACAGTCATGAGAACGCATTCACAGGAGTCTATGCAGTCCAGTGAAAAACTACACACACCCTTAATGCTTCCATAGGAATTAAGGTGGTCAATAGTAGCAATATGCTGCTCATCAAATGCACTGGATTAACCAGTCATGAGCAAGTGTGAGCACCTCTGTACAAACAGCAGGTTTTGGCTCTTTGTTGGTCTGAATCATTCAGATTTGTGCATTATTAAATGTTAAAGTTCACAACAGTAGATTTGGTCACCTAGTCAACTATGAACTCTGTTTGTTAAAGTATTCTAGAGTCTAATGTGAAGCCATCCGACAGCCAAAGCTTGACCAATATCAGCCCAAAGCAGGACAATGATCCCAATCTCAACAGCAAATCTGCAACAGAATGGCTGAAAAATTTAAAAAAAACAAGGTGATGCAATGAGCTGCTCAAAGTCCAGACACAAACCTGATTGAAACTAGCACTAGCAGTGTTGACATAGTGTCAACAGTGTAAACAGTAACCCTGCCAAGAAAGACAGAAAGACAAAATATTTCTGGACCTTTCTTGTCTAATTTGTTATATATTCTTTAAAGCGACTGCACAACAATTCATATACTGTGTAATTAGAGGTCATCTTCTCAGCCGAAACTAGCCTGCAGGAGAAAGAATGGAGAGTGCAATACAACAAGCAGGCTAACAAATTACTGTGTTAGGGTATTAATTAGTCAAACAATGCATTACTATTGACTAGGCGATTAGGAATGCATTACTTTTTTGAGTAATGAGTACTGAAAACCACAGACAAGTGGGTATAATGAATACCACAAGGATTTTTCATTAATGTGGCCACATTAGCTCTTATTTGCATACGGCTGTAAGACTTTGTGAAAATGATGATACTCCAAGCAAAAGAAGACAGATTTGGTGCATGAAACACACAATAGGCAATGTGATGATTAGTGTGCTCAAGGATGCAACTGACCAAAACAAGTAGAGGACAAATGCAGTTCACAAACATATCATATTCTGTAATTTCATCATTGCTTGGCAATACTTTCAGCTTGTTTGTGCTGTCAGCCGTCTGTTAACGGGTCAAAGGTGTCCATAGACACGTCTTTTGGGATAACAACTGCCGTAACTTTAAATACCAGACATCACAGCACCTGGTGAGGTAACTGTTGAGTCAGTGTTATCGATTATTCACCCTATTGCTGCCGCAGATTTATGTGGATCATTTTGCACTCAGGTCTTACTCACTGCACCTTTGAAACCTCCCAGGTTTGATTGCACACATAATTAGTTTTTCTGCAGGTACTGCTGCAGGCCTAGTGCTGGGCTACAAAGCAATCAGTAGCTATAGCCCATTGAGTTCAGTCCATTTGATTCAAAGTATACATCTGAAACAAAAGCACTAATTAGGACATGGACAGCCTGTTATTCCAGATACAATATTCCTCTGAGGAATCCTAATAATCCCCTAAGGTATTTACCAAATCTCTACTTCTAATATTCCTGTTGGGATATTTTTGGTTGCTTGTGCAGTCTCCTTCTTAACTCTTTCATACGGGCATTGTGCTACATTTTGATACCAGAGAATATGAAACGAAATGTAAAACCCAATGCGTATGCTTGTGCTTGTGAAGTAATCAATGCTGCTGACAGTGCAAATCTCACTCACTGCT